GTTTCCCTGAGCCAAAAGGCAAAATGTTTTAGCATAAAATTTTAAAAGACTTGATAAAGCCAAGGGCCAGATGGCAAGGCTCTGTGCTAACTACCCCAGGCTCGGCCACTCAGGGACTCTTCCAGAGTCAGAAGTTTTTCTCAGGCGGTCACCCTCACATCAGAACTCCCAGCCTAGGCAAATCTTTGGACACCGAGGTATACATGAGATGTGTTTAGGTTTGAGGATGCCATAGCTTAGCTCTGCCTGAGCTATTATTCATGACTATCCACCCCTCAAAAACAAGTTGTTGGAGACCAAAATGATCACATCACAGAAACTCTGAGAATCATTTCTAAGCAATGAGAAAACCAGTCTCGGAAAACCTGTCACCACTCACCTCATGAATTAGACACTTGTCTATGAGCTGTAAATAGGAACTTATATTTTCCTCATCAGGTCTGGAGACCAAGAGCTGTGTGCACACTGTGGATTGAAAAAATAAAAAAGAAAGATAAATTAGAAAAATGTACACCCGTCCTAACCTCTGAAATCTGCCTCTGATTTCCTTTCAGGACCAATATTTTGAAAGGTGTGTGTGCCTGTTGGTTTATGTAAGGTTCACAAAAAAGGCCAGGAGGCTCCTCATTCCACTGAAGTCAAAGGCTTGGTCACCACAGGAGCCCTTGCCTCGAGAAGCCCCTTCAGTTCATTCCAGTCATACCATTCTATATTAAGCCTTCTGCAGTCGAGCCCGAGACAGACACTCTGTGAGAGGGAGAACGTAGCAGTTGGCAGCAGTGTCCTCAGCTCTGTCTTTGAAAGAGGCTCCTTTTGAGAAGGGGTTCAAAGGCATCACAGAACGTCGGCCCTGTCAGAGAGCAGTCTCTGTGATTTTATGAATGAACTGCACACCTCACCTCCAGCCAGGTGGAAAGGCAGTCACGTTTGTGTTTGTAGGAGTGTGGCTGGCACGTCTTTCAGAATGTGAGGTGTGTGGGTGTACACATGAGCAGGAAGCAAGCCGTCGACTCAATCACTTGAGCTATCAGAGGGTTATTTTCTCAATGTGATATGCACATTTATATACACACACACGTTCACCTACACACTCAAGCAAGTGCTAATATAGACGGAGCAGTCAGTCTGCTGTTAGAGCACATACAAACTGGATTTCTCACGGTATGCTCTTATCATACCCGTTGCTGTCAAGTTGATTCTGACTCACAGCAACCCTATAGGACAGAGTCCTATAGGACAGAGTAGAACTGCCCCCTAGGATTTCCAAGGCTGTAATCTTTATGGGAGCAGACTGCTACATCTTTCTCCTGCAGAGCTGGTAGGTTTGAACCGCCAACCTTTCAGCTGGCAGCCGAGTTCTGTAACCCCTTCGCCACCAGGGCTCCTTGCTCTAATTATAGAGGCTGTGATGCTCTAACTTTGGGGGTGGTGGTTAGAAGGACATGTGGAAGATAGTGGGACAAAAAAAGTCAGTCAGAGAATGAAATGCCTTGCATTCAAGTAGACCAAGCTCAAAACCTGGGCATCATATTTGATTCCTTCTCTCTAATCCTGCATAACTAATCTGTCATGGAATCTCGTTTATCCCACCTCTTGGTATCATATCCATGGATGTCTTTGCCTGCGGATTTTCACTGAAGCATTGTTTGTAATAGCAAGAACTTGGAAACTGCCTCAATGCCCATTAATTAGGGCCCTGTTCCATAAATTATGGTTTGTGCATACAATGAATAGTATGCAGTCTTTAAAAAGGAATGAAGTGGTGCTATTTGTATTGACAGAAACAGCAAAAACATACAATTAAAAAAAAAAACAAAAACCCAAGCTGCAGAAAAGAACGTAAGTATGACCTGTTTGTGTACAAAAAAAGGATGTGCATGTGCTTGCAAATGATTATAAAGTTTCTGAAGGGATATCCAAAAACTGTTAAAAGCAGCCACCTCTGAGGAGGAAGATGACAGGGCTAGGAGGGGGGCATTGCTTTTCACTTGCCACCATTTTCTTTAGTTTGAATTTTCTATGTTAAGCATGAATTAGTTTTACCAATTTCTTTTAAGGTAGTTAGAAGCAGCGCTTGGGGAGTCTGGATCTCTGAAAGGCTGAGCACATCATAGGATTCTTCACAGGGAGGATGTGATGTACATTCAGGTAACCATCCCTATGTAGGCTTGGCAGGGCTGTGTCCTCACATGTAGGGGAATCTGCTCTAATCCCACACAGCTAAGAGCCCACTCTGGGTAGAGGTGGGCGAGGGCAGGTGAGGAGAGTGGGGAGGTGAGTAGGGGGAGAAGAAGAACCCACTAAGCCATCAAGCTACTGTCATCTAGTTCTGAGGAGACCTATGAGTCCTCTCATAAACCACGTTTCTATGAATTTAAGTCTTTTTCAGACATGTATCAAAGGAGTTTCTCACTGCAACTACAAAGCTCAGGGGCTCATTTCTTTTGGTGAAAGAGTGTTCCAGGCAAGGCTGCTACATATGGAAGTGCAGGCTATGCACTGCACAAGAGCACTCCAAGGCCAGTGCCTGCAGCGCTGCATCCACTCAGAGTGGGTGCTGTTTTGTAATTCATATTAAGGCTTTTTATGGACTGGTAGGGGCTCCAATTCTAGGCAAAGGGAATATATGTACAAAGGCTCAGAGAGCAAGCAAGCTTTGGGGAACTCAAAGATAGAAAGTCTGGCTGGAGTGCAGAATGGCGGTGGTGGGAGCAGTGCAGGTGGTAAGGAGGGGCCAAACGATAACCGACCCTTTAGATTTGGGTTTTATCAACTGTGAGCAAATGGGAGCCATTATGTGGACTTTAACTTTGCCCTGTCTTGAGCTTATAGGAAGGCACAGTGGTCACCATGTGGATGGTGGAGAGACTGCAAGGTTCAAATCTCAGCCCTGTCATCAGCTGTGTAAGTGTAGGAAGGCTACTTAGCCTGTGTGCCTCAGTTTCCTCCTATGCACAATGGGGTTAATTTGAGGATGAAGAAAGCTGTATAGGTAAAGCACAGAGAGCTGTGCCTGGAACACAGTAACCACTAAAAAAACACAAGCTGTTATTATGAGAGTATTTCCTGTGGTGGATCAACCTAGACGAGAGAGTACAAATGCAGAGACTGATGATGCCAGCAAACATGCCGGGAATGCTCCAAGTCATGTCCACATCTGAAAATGCTGGCGAGAGGCTGTTGCAAGGGGCCTGACATCCGAGGGACAGTGGGATAGATCTTCAGCTATGGATTAAAGGTATCAATGCTCTTTTAGCTTTTCACTTCATTTTCTGCCACTTTTGCTTTGGGGAGGAAACCAGCCACTGAGTGAAGCGGTTTGTTCCTGAAATCATCTTTTTCAGAGTCCATCCCACCTTTCTCCCTCGAGGTTCCAATGACCAAATGAGCACTCTAATAGGAGTTAGAGCAAAAGGAGATGGAATTAAGGAACAGTCGTTTGGAGGTCTGAGAGATGGGAGTTTAAATCTGAATGACTTAAGCTCTTTGAGCCTGGGTTTCTGAACTGTAAAATGGAGCTGACGGCACCTCCCGACAGGTACTTTATCCAGCACTCAGAGGAAGTCCCTCAGGAGCATGCAGCTCTGAGGACCGGTATTAGAAAGAATAAAGGGAGTAAGTGAGAGTCAGGCTCTACCTTTGCCCATGACACGTGTGAACTGCCCAGGGAGATCCCCCTCTGGCAGGGGGGCGACAGCCAGCTCCCCATCACAGCTGCTCAGCTGGTGAGGCTGGAGCCCACCGCTAGCCCCGGCTGAGGTGGTGGCTGTGGCGCCGGGAGCCCCAGCGCTGTCTTTGCAGTCGGGGCTCTGGCTCTCCGGGCCCATCAGTGAAGGCTGGTGCGGGCCCTGGGGCTCACGGCGGCGGGCCTCCGGGGTGGTGCTTGGGGAGCTGTAGGCCTTGATGGGCGTCAGGATCATCTGATGTAGTTCCTGGAGTGGGATGCGCAGGTTGCCCCCCTCGATGATGTCCTGCGTGGTTAGAAGAAGAAGACATCCATTAGCGTCAGGAACTGCTACCGCGATACTTCCTTTCCCGTCCCCTGAGCTGCTCCCCGGACAGGATTCAGGGCTGCTGGCAGCCAGCAGACTATCCTTTGGGAAGGCAATCATTTATTTTAATTGTTCTAATATTAGTCCTGGCAGCACAGTGGCTAACAGCCCAGCTGCTAACGAAAATGTCGGCAGTTCGAATCCACCACCCACTCCCTGGAAACACTATACGGCAGTTCTACTCTGTCCTATAGGGTTCCTATGAGTGGAATCAACTGGATGGCAACGGGTATGATATGGGTAATATTAACGCAGGTCTAAGAAAAAGGAGTGGTAGTGGTGCAGTGGTCAAGTGCTCATCTGCTAACTGAAAGGTCAGCAGTTCATACCCATGAGCTGCTCAGTGGGAGAAAGATGTGGCAGTCTGCTTCTGTAAGGATTTATAGCCTTGGAAACCCTATGGGCAGTTCTACTCTGTCCTACAGGGTCACTATGAGTTGGAATCTACTCAATGGCAGTGGGGTTTTTTTTTTTTTT